GGACTCCAGAGGGGCAGTGGTTTGCCCTATAGATAATTCACTGGGAAGCATGTCCTGGTGTCTGCTAGTACCAGCTTGGGTAGTGACTTGTGAAGACTGACTTAGAGCTAAGGCTACAGGTGGGTGTCCCTAACCCACCTGGAGACACAGAGAGTGAGGGCTCCTGGAACCCAGTGGTCTGAGAATCCAATACTAAAAGCAAGGACACAGACAGTTATTGTTATGAACAAATGGTCTCCATGAGACACTCCTTTTTTGTAGGGACTCAGAGGATGCAGTTACCCTCCCTGAACTGAACCATAAGAGAAGTAAGTCAGTATAAACATCATCCAGGCCATGGTGGGATTCTCACATGCACATAATGTCATTACACTTCTCATCATAGATCCCATTTTCATACTCTGGACACATGTTTGTGAGGAGCTTCCTGGCCAGTTCCAGAGATGGGGCACCCATTGTCTGAATCTTGGAGACTGTCCCAAGCAGCCTCAGTAGAGCCAAGGATTGAGATTGCAGACACAGACAGCAACAGTAAAAGGCTCAGGATGCCACCTGCTTTCACATAAGAAGTCATCTGTTCTTTGGCTTTAGCACTAGTAGAATTGCAGTATTTGAGAGAAAGTGGGTTATCCTTCCCAATATCAAAAATAAGAATAAAAGGAAACCATATTCATCATATTTAAAAATAAAGTTAAGAATATTTACAATCAAATTAGTGTGAATATCTCTGTGACTTTAGTACACTTTCACTTTTGAAGATGATTACAGATGCTAGATGAGGATAATTGGGAAGTTCAGATATGAAACTCCTTTAATTCCTTTGTGAAGTAATATTTTCTTTTAAAAATGGTGTTCATAAATACAAAATAAAATACAATTTCAACATTCTTCATAATTATTTTATGAAATTTTCATTAATATTATTTTTTCCTTTGAATTCATTCATTCTTTTATATTTTTAAGACATCCACTCATAAATAGGAATAAAGATTCATATTAAAGTATGTTATGGCCAATAGTCAAATGTATCTCATAATTATCTATCCATACATTTGATTGTGTGTGTGTGTGATAATACTAAGATAAAGAAGATGATCTGAAATTTAAGTGAGAAACAAATAGAAATGCTAATTTTAATACATAAAATCCTAATTATATCAGTTTTTATCTTTTACATTAAAACTCGCTGAAATAAAAAATGACAAGAAATTATTCAAATGCAAGAAAAACAGGAAAACATATGGGTTCAAATATTTATCACACATTAAAATACATATGCATTAGGAAATCATAGTGACCAGAATGTAATCCTAAACTCTGAGGTGAGCCCTGTGCTACCTCTAAAGTTCTCTCAGACATTCACTGGGTACCATGAATCAACAGTTTTCTTCCTAGGATGTCCACAAGGCATTAAGGAGCCAAAGGCAAAAGGAGGAATATGAAGCCTAGAAATAGAGGAAAATCTCAGGTTACCAGAAGCTCATATCAGCAAAGCAAAAGCAGCTCCATTGTGGATGGAAGTGATACTGCTTGATCCAGGTAAGAGTTTAAATTGAGCTGTGTATTTTATCACTGAAGGAGAGTACTGATATATGCTGCACACTGTGGGATTCGATATTTATTAATCCCATTGAAGTCCCCCTGAAGAGGGTCCTGTGATTCCATCTTTCTCCCCTACAGTAACTAAGTCCAACTGCTAAGAGCTGAGAGGTATTCTCTCTGATTGTGACATCTGAAATTGTCTCATAAGTCTCATACATACCCACCCTCAAAGTTCATGTTCAACATCCTTCATAGATAGATCTCAAGAAACAAAAACACATGTCCTATTTTCAGCCTAAATGCTTCCTGTTCATCTAGGTAAGTCTTTCTCAGTCTAACATGAGTTCAACTTCCTAACGTACTGGTAAACTATGGGTTTAATTTGAGTATCTGCCAAAGTTCCATATATAGAGAATTCTTCCCAAGGTTATATACCAGGAGGTACTTCCTGGTGATAGTATCTTGTGAGAGGTTGTAGGGCTTAAGGGAGAGAGCCATAGTTCACTGGTGTCATGTCCATAAAATGGTGGTTTAACACCACCCTTTCTGCTATCTCTCAACTTCCTGGTTTATGAGTGAACATTCACAATGGCTCACACTTCCCATTTTATCAAATCCTCACCAGTGTCCCAAAGTTATGGCACTAAAGATCTCAGGCTTAAATCTCCATATCCATGAACCAAAATAAACCTCTCTTTACTTTATATGTACCCTGTGTTTTCTTTGTTATTTTATTTGACTTTTTTGGTACATAAATTCAATGGGCTTGCTGATTTCTTTTTTTTGTTGTTGTTGTAATTTTTATTTATATATGACAGGAAAATGCATTACAATTCTCATTACACATATAGAGCACAATTTTTCATATCTCTCATTGTATATGTAGTATATTCCCACCAATTCATGTCTTCATACATGAACTTTGGTAAGTAATGATTATGACACTCCATTATCATTAATTTCCCCATGTCCTCTCCCTTCCCTTCCAACCCCTCTGCCCTATCTAGAGTTCATCTATTTCTCCCATGATCCCACTCCCTGTCCCATTATGAATCAGCTTCCCTATATATAAAAAAGTTGACATTTGGTTTTTTGGTAGTGGCTAACTTCAATTAGCATTATCTTCTCCAATACCATCCATTTACCTACAAATGCCAAGATTTTATTCTCTTTTATTGCTGAGCAAATTTTCATTATGTATATATGCCACACTTTTTTATGCATTCATCTACTGAAGGGCATCTAAAATGGTTCCATAGTTTAGCTATTGTGAACTGTGCTGCTATAAACAGTGATGTGTCTGTGCCCCTTTAGTATGCTGTTTTTAAGTCCTTTGGGTATAGACTCAGGAGAGGAATAGCTGGGTCAAATGGTGGTTCCATTCTCAATTTTCCAAGTAATCTCTATACTGCTTTCTGTAATGGCTACACCAGTTTGCAGTCCCAGCAGCAGTGTATGAGTATGCCTTTTTCCCCACGTACTTGCCAATGTTATTATTGTTTGTATGCATAATAACTGCCATTCTGACTGCAGTGAGATAAAATCTTAGTGGTTTTGATTTGCATTTCTCTAATTGCTAGTGATGGTGAACATTTTTCTATGTATTTGTTGATTAACTGTCATCATCTTCTGAGTGGTGTCCCTTCAGGTCCTTGGCCCATTTATTGACTGGGCTATTTGTTTTTAGTGTTTCAGTGGTCTTGATGATTTCTCATTTTCAGTATTAACACATACACTTGTCTGATTTCTTCTCAATTTCTCTGAAGACATTCTCCTTGCTTGTGTCTTCACTGAAATTTCTTCCTGCTCTGTGACCATTCTTCCATTCCACCAAGAAAACACACCTAAACAATCAATCCATGAGGATGGGAGGGTAAAATAGGAAGCAAGGGTGTGGATCAGATTCCTTCAGGAGCAAGAAAGTCACAGTTTAGTGAGGACATCTTCTGCATAGAGGTGTGAAGCCAGTATTTCCCTTTGTGACCTGGTGCAGAGCCCTGTCCTGTTGTAAGTAGTACAACATCACCCCCTACTGGTCTTTGATGCTCTGTCTTCAAACCCCTCTCATATCTTGGCAAAGACTCTAGAATGATCATCTGATTATAGTAAATGGACCTTTCTGATTTTATTTCCCTGACAATAAAACTACCATGGTCTATTTTACTGAGTACTTTTTTTTTTTGGTTTCTAATGATCTCCTGAACGCTAAATACACTGTTTATAGTCCCATATATTTCAGGATTATCTGGTATTTGACTTTGCTTCAGCCAGGTACTTTGGGTTATTCCCAGTCTATGAACTGTTAAAAGAAGTTTAAAACTTGAAAGGAAAGTGACCACAACACTTGGAGCGACCAAAAGATATTTATTGCATCAGTGCAACAGAGGAGAAGAGAGAGAGGGAGAGAGAGAGAGAGAGAGAGAGAGAGAGAGAGAGAGAGAGAAGAGAGAAGAGAGAAGAGAGAAGAGAGAAGAGAGAAGAGAGCACACACACAATGGAGACAGAGAGAGAAAGAGAGCAAGAGAGAGAGAAAGAGAGAGAGAGGGCTGGCAGGAGGGAGTTTTTATAGCCCAAATCTAACGGGGCCTCTTGGCCTGCAAGCTGCCTTGTTGACACACAAGGGGTTAAGTGTTTGGCCTTGAGCGTGGAGTTGAGTGTTCAGACTTGAACAGGGGCTTGGGTGTTCGGGCTTGAAGCAAACAGGGGATAAAGAATGAGATGGAGGGTTAGAGAAGCCAGGTCATCCTGCAGCTAACTTTGTTTGGCATGTCCTGCAGATAGCTTACTCAGCCTGTCCTGCACCTAACATTTTTCCATTTTTGTTTTTCTAAGTGACATGGGGGATGGTGCAAAGTCCTCTAGCTATATCCTGCTTAATGGTGGGTGGCATAGGACCTAGAAGGGGAAATGGAGGAATGTTCGGGGGACAGGTCTGAGAACATCAGGGCAGCCAGAAATAACACTCAGTGGCTATAGACAACTACTTCAGTAGGGGTAAAGTCCATAAAAGTTCCTTGAAGCCACAAGTCGTTGATGGCATCAAACCTGTCCTGGATGGAGGAGATTCTTGGTATCAGCCACTGGTCCTGTAGCAGGAACTCTGGGAAGTATTGAAGGTGGCTTGGTTGAATCCAGTAATGTTAAGGGTGACAGCCCGATTGCAGCCAGTGGATGAGCAACTACCTTGACCCATAAATTGAGAGTGGGTGGTGTCATCCTGGTGCCATGTCGCTTGGATATTAAAGCACCATCTGTGGTTGGGATAGAAACTTGAGAGAGATTAATGATTAGTAAAAGAAGAAGAGAGTTGGCAAAAAATCTTGAGTTTAGTGGGCATGATGGAAGTCCAGGACTGGATATTTGGAACAGGTGCCTTTTTAAGGTGGGAGCCATGGTACCAGGGGGAGTGTCTAAATGTTTGGTCACCATTGGGGTAGTAAGTATGACTGTATGGGGTTTTAAGGTTGGAGACATGGACCAGGGGGAGTGTCTAAGTGCTTGGTCACCATTGGCGTAGTAAGTATGACTGTATCGGGTTCAATCCAGCGAGGTTCCAACGATTGAGAATGCAGTTCCTGAAGTAAGCCTAAGTCACCCAGTTGAAGAGGGTCCAATTCAGTTCCTGGTTGTGCTGGGGATGAGGCAATGCATGGCACAGGAAGGCACTGGTCTGCATGTTCCCTGAGAAGTGAGGGCTGGACCGTTGTCTGACTGGGTGGAGGTGGGAAGTCTGAACCTGGGAATGATCTCCTCAATGAGGATGGAGGCAATGGTGTCTGTAATTTCCCTGGATGTGGGGAATGTATTTATCCAACCTGAAAAAAGCATCAACCAAAGTAAGTAGGTAGTGAAGCTTTTTGTGCCTAGGCATGAGAGTGAAGTTGATCTACCAGTCTTCGCCTGGCTAGTGACTCTTCATCTGATGTGTGGGGAGTTTAGGTTTGTTGCTTCCTTGTGGGGATACTGTAGAGCAGACAGAACAAGCAGAGTGGACCTGCTGAAGAGTAGTTCTCATTCCTAGGAAGTGAAAGAGGAATTGTAAAATCTGGAAAAGTGGTTAAGGAGGGTTTTAGGTGGGGGCAGAGTCTCTGGAGCTAGAGGAGTTGGTCATGAGTCATAGGTCTCCATCTTGGGCATCAGGGGCTGGTAGTTGATTGACTGACTGGTTGGTGAATTTATGTATCTGATCTTTCAGGAACTTCTGTAGGCAATTTAATAGACATGGTCCTATTAGGAGAAACATAAAGAGGACTAATAGGAGTCCTGCTAGGGGGAGGAGCCAAGGCCATACTTGACTGAACATTTCCCATGGAACTTGTTGGCCTAGTTGCTGTCTCCTCTTTTCTAGCTGTTCTTGTCCTTCATTACTCCCAGAAATGACTGTGTTTTGGCTTAACTGTTTTTGGTAGGTGTTTAAGATCAAGCTGGTCAAAATTGACTTTGTTTCTATCTATTGTTAAGAGTCAGCCGAGTTCCCATAGGGGTCACTTGTGGGGGAACTTGAGAACAGCTTTTTGGTTCTGCTAGTGCCATTTGCACTAAGATAGGTCTAGGTCTTGCTTGACCATGTGGCTTCCTTTGGAAACATCAGGGATGTCTCCTGTCTCCAATGACCCTCCTATTCAGAGCAAGTGCACTGATTGGCTTTTCATTCTCCAGTGGTCTCATTAATCTCCCTGATCAGGAGGTTATGTGTCCCAGAGTTGCAAAGCTCTTTAGAGAAGTTCCCTGTTCCCTGGATTCAGACTGACTCAGAGGGCCAGAGCCAAATATTGGTGTTTTTTTGGCCATTTTAATTTAACTTTAAGTCTTGATTGTAAACATCCAGCAAAGTCAGTTTCACCTTAAATTAAGAGTACTGGGCTTTAGCTGAAGTCTGGCCTACTTTGGAGTCATTCTGACATGTAGTAAGATGGGAGGGATAGCCTTATCTTAGGTAAGGCAGGGCTCTTTATAAATCTTAGGTAAAGTATTCTAGTATATGAAGTTGATATTTGTTTCCAAATATCATTTTATAAAGTTTACATATATTGTTGCTTGATGTCACATGAACAATAGCTAACACAATATGATATTACGTTTAAATTGTACCCTAGTTTATAGAACTTTATATTAATCTTATTGATAACAGGTCCAGTTTTAGAAAATTAAATTATATAAATAATAAGTGTTTCTCTAGCAGGCAAGTCTTGAAGGTGCGAGGACTAGGACTTTATGAGCCATCGAGACTGTGAAGATATGTGTGGGGTGTGATGTTTGTTCTCTGTTTTGTGTTCCTGGAGGTTACACAGTCCTTTGAGGGAGACTTACAAAGCCTATGCTGGTAAACTACCAGCTGGGAAGGGAAGGGAATAATTTTGAACCCAAGAGTCTAATCTGCTGAAGGCTGTGGTGGGGTGCTTTCCTCCCTGCAGCTTGGCAAAGAGGTTTGCCAGACAATCAATGGTTAAATCCTCCTGAAACCACCATTGGGTTTAGGACTCCAGGAAAGGGAAACTCACCAATCAAAGGCCGGTGGTGGATGGTGTTCTGGCGGTTGAGAAAATGGGTTCAGGCCATCCAGTGAGTGGCACTTCTGAAGGAAGAGGGACCCAAAAGTGGGTTTTAACCCTCTCCCGGGTTTCGGCACCAATGAAAGGAAACACTTGGAGTGACCACAACACTTGGAGTGACCAAGAGATCTTTATTGCAGCAGTGCAACAGAGGAGAAAAGAGGGAGAGAGAAAGAGAGAGAGAGAGAGAGAGAGAGAGAGAGAGAGAGAGAAGAGAGAAGAGAGAAAGCACACAAAGGAGACAGAGAGAGCAAGAGAGCAAGAGAGAGAGAGTAAAAGAGAGAGAGAGAGGCCCAGCAGGAGAGAGTTTGTATAGCCCAAATCTAATGGGGTCTCTGGGTCTGTAAGCTGCCTTGTTGACACACAAGGGGGTTAAGTGTTCAGCCTTGAGTGTCGGGTTGAGTGTTCAGACTTGAGCAGGGGATTAGGTGTTTGGGCTTGAAGCAAACAGGTGATAAAGAACCAGATGGAGGGTTAGAGAAGCCAGGTCATCCTGCAGCTAACTTTGTTTGGCATGCCCTGCAGACAACTTACTCAGCCTGTCCTTTACCTAACAAAACAGAAAGCTAAGGAGAGGTCACAAGTGTTAGTAACTCTGCCTGAATTTCTCTTACAGGTTTACTTATTGACTGGTTGCTGCATTTCTAAGAGTCTCCTGTTGTATTCTGCCTCACTCCACTCTACAGGCCTTGGCTTCAGATGTCTATTTTCCTTGAGTGAGAATATAATATTATCAGGGAATGAGTGTGTTCTATTTTGACTTGCATCTCAGTTCTCTAATTTGCCCTTGAATGTCTACTTTAAAAAAACAAACTTATTTTGACTCTGATGTATGTCAGTTATCTTCTTCTAGTTTTATATTTTTCCATATATTATTTATATAAATAGCATTGCTATCAATATAAATTACTGTTATATTGGTGTTTCTACAACTGCTCAACTAACCAACCCTTGTAAATTTTTGTATCAGAGAAAAAGTTCCTAATCAGGTTCATTTGTGAATACCTCCATGGATTTAAATGTCAGTTGGTTTATAAAGTCTATGTCTAAAAAACCTGATATTTATCCAACACTCTTCCACTTGAGAAATATTGAGGGTAAGGCATAATTTATGAGGTCTAACAGCATTGGAGGGTCTGAGAGTTATGTACTTAGAGGAGAGATTTCATTCTTCATCAGGGAATCCAAAGCCACATCAGAGTGAAATCTGATGAGAAAATGAAGCACACCTTTCCTATGTTTTCAGAGTCAGTGAAAGATTGGCACAGCCTGGGAAACAATCAGGAGACATGAAAGGGGTTGAAGAAGCAACATAGGAGTGTGAGTTGCTCATAGGCAGAGATAAAGCATGAAGGGGCAGACAAGAGGAGTGGTGATTTTGTCTCAATTCACTCTAGAGTGGAGACAATTGTGGCACTGATGATGTAGCCGAATGAGAATGAGGAAAAGCACATGCTTGTGGGGTGGAAAGTGATAATCAGCCTTTTATATTTTAAGCCTGAACTTCAGGCTGGAACCTAGTGGTACTCAATGAGGCCCTACTGACAAACCTTTGGCCTAAGTTTAGGACTGAATCCTTGATGACTGAATACTCATATCTGAGGTCACAGACATAGGATTTCTCCCAGGAAATTCTGGGCACCAATAGCCACAGTAATCTCCAATGTTTCTATAGCTCCCTGTGTAAAACAAAATGGCCTCAGGCTCTGAGGCACATCATGTGATTTATTGGTATAGTTACACATATATGTATATGTGGGGAAATTTTCTGCTCCCTGAAGTTCCACAATCTACTCCTAAACTCTAGAATTTTGAAAAGCCCCAATGGGTATTAGAGGAGAGAAGTCATTTCCTAAGAGGCCAGAGAAACCTACCTATAAAAGTCCACATTATCCTGAGAGGTGTCATACAGAGAAGAGTGTCATCCTTGGGACTTACTTCACTGAACTTCTCAGGAGGACTCTCAAGAGTTTTCTAATCAAAGGTGGAGCCTCACCTTCAGTCACATTCATCAAGAAAGTTTTATGTCTTCAGTTCTAAACTCCATACCACTTCCCTACCCCCATTGCCTAACATTCAATCCTTGACAACAAAACTGAATGTGCAGAAACCCAGCAAGAGAGCTAGCCCTGTGCTTGAAATTTCTTCATCCTTTATCCTCACACAGCATTTCATATCTTAATGTCTCAATCCCTGACTGCCTGAACAGCCTTGAGCTCAAAAACTGAAGACAAATTAGGTGATATCTTCTCTGAATCCTTGAAAAGCCAAACTTATGCTGTAGAGGAATATCCACCTCTTAGAAGGTCTCATGCCCTTGGCCAAGAAAAAAAAAACTGGTGTATTTTTTTTCAGAGAAAAAATCTAAATCTTCAGGATATGGTTATAAAATCAGATTACCATATAAATCACAAAAAAGGTTGGATGTTATATTTATTTTGGTGTTATTTTTAGTTTTCCTGAAATTTCAGAAACTTTGATTAGAAAAATTAAAGGGCAGACATTGTGACCCAGAACTCACTTAAATTTATATTTAGAGTTAAAAGCATATTAATTTGAAATTGGTGAAGAGTTATAGTCCAATACCCTGATCAGGCTGTTTTGTTTTTTGTATCAATTCCCCATATGCCTATGTCACTGTGAGAAGCATTAATGTGGCCAATGACACAGTAATTATCAGTCTCATTCTCAAGCTGCAGCCCAGAATTGACCAAAAGGGATGAATTGTATTGGACACCTTTGGATCCAGAGAAGGGGCCAGAAATCCCAGAGCCATGTAGAATGTCCAAATGTGAGTAGTATCTCAGGAAAAATCTAGAATGCTTCCCCAGCTTGTGCTGGTACCACTGTATCCATTTTTCAGCACATTGGAGACATTATTCAGGGTGCAGATGAGTCTGACAGATGCTTCAGGAGGTGCAGAAAAGGAGGGGGACTGAGTCAGCAGAGGTTGGGCAGAGAACAATCGTGGGTGCTTGAGTGGGAATCATATTTAAGATAGTGGTTACCTGAACTAGAAGATTAATATAGAATGGGGTCTATCCTGAGTCTCTAAGACCTATCCCTACCTGAGTAATGAGAGAGTAGCAAGAGGAATGAGGGTACATGCCATTTTCTCCACAGAGGGAATTTGCTACCTCAGGCTTGTCTTACTCTCTCTGCTGCTTTCAGGGAAAATAAGTGGCTGTTCAGGTAAATTGAACTCCTCCATTCCTGCTTTGTCAGAGTACATCTG